ACTCTCTTACCTCCTGGGGGGAGTGGTGGGGAGGAGTTTTTCCACTCCAAGGTTGGGGTCGGTGGGCTGGGAGAGGCTCTGTTGGACAGAGGCTTGGGAGCTCTTTTCCTTAATGCCCACTTCCTTTCCTTAAGAACTTTGAGCAGGTGAGATGGCGGAGGAGGAAGGCTTGACAGAGCTGGAACTGGCAATCTATGCCCTGGTGTCCAACTTTTTCAAATACGTATCCAAGCGCAGCCTCGTTCGGAACAAGATCAGCAAAAGCAATTTGCGAAAAATGCTGCAGAAAGAATTCCCCCACATGTTGACAGTAAGGGAATTGGACCCCTTTCCATCCCCTCCCCCTCGCCCCCCACAGGGAAATTTCCCAGAGGGCTGTGGGCTGTATGCCCAGGAGGCCTGGAGTAGGGCTGATGGACAGACCTTCCTTTGTTTTGAAATCTCTAAGGCGAAAGGGGGGTTGAGGGTGGGAGGTGGTAAATGACTTCAACCTCAATTGAATGATAGGCTCGTAGATTTAGATCTGGAAGGGACCTTAGAGGTTGTTTAGCCCAGCCTTCTCATTTTACAAATTAGGAAACTGAGGCCCAAGGAGGGGCAGTAACTAGGTCAAGAGCGCAGAGGTAGTAAATAGTAGAGTGGGGTTTGAACCTCTGTCCTCTGATTCACATCCAGTGCTTTCCCCTTTATCGCACTGCCTCCAGCCCTGGACTCTGACCCTTGGCTACCCAGCTTGCCCCCCAAACCCCAATGAGCCTTTACCACTCCCTACCAGGACACACGCAACAGGAAGGCGGCTGACAAGCTCATTCAGAACCTGGATGCCAACAACGACGGGCTCATCAGTTTTGAGGAGTACTGGACCTTGATAGGCGGGATCACCAGCCCCATCGCCAAGCTCATACGCCAGCAGGAGCAGCAGAACTGCGACTAGCAGCCCCTTCTTTCTCCTCCAGAACCTCTCCCTCCCCTTCCCAGTGCACCAGGGCATTCTGGCCTTGAACTTCAGTTCTTCAGGCTCCAGTCTTCTTCCAGGCCCTGCTCTTTCTCACCTTTTCCTTCTCCCCATGGACTGTTCTTCTCATCC